AAAACTGGTTAAATTAATCGTTATTTTTTTGTCGAGTAATTAGTATCAGTTTTTGACCAATATCATTTTGCAACTTTCTTCAATTTAGCATGTAAATGTGCTCTTATAATGGTTCATTTTGGAATGCAATATGAAACATGTGTTAATACACCTAGGAAGCACATTAAGTGTTTCTTATAATATGTTCCAAGATATGATTTTGAGGTTTATGAAAATCTTTTTCAATTGTTAATCCTAAAAAGTTAATTTTAGTTTTTAACAACTGGATTTTTTTTTCTGACATGATTATTCCTAATCTATTACACTCTTTTAGAACTGCGACTACGTGCATATAATGTCCTTGCCTTGTGTTGTTCAAGATGAGGGTATCATCATCATTTTTTTTTCAAAATGATAGATAATATTATATATCAAAAAGTACAAATGTGCGAATACACAGCAGCCAACGGCTGAATATACAACAACCAACAACTGAAAAAGTGGGAGGACAAGTCAAAAGACCGCCTAGAATCCCGACTAGCAACCTAGAATACAAAACTCACAACTAAACTAAACCAACTACTCAACCGACTAAAACAACTAAAAAAAGACCCCAACCGGGTAATACCCGAGTGTCGGATCCCAACAGGATAATATATTGACACTCGGGCGCACATGGGCCAACGACCCAAACCTAAAACACAAGACACGCACAACACAATAACAAAAACAAAACAAGAACACAAAAAACTAAATAAAGCTAATAGCCCTTCCCCAGCGAACGAGCAAACTCAAGGCAGCGGTGAACGATCGACACAAGACAATCCAGACCAAGCACCAGCTACCGAAACTGCAGTCAAGCCTATACTAGCGGAACCCAAATCCCGAACCATTCCCCGAATCAACCCATCGACAACCGAGAGAGACATAGTCCATCCCACTCTGATTCCATCCGAACTCATCTAGCACACTAGATGAGGCCGATGGAACCTCCCCCGCAGTCTAACACCACTAGTCAATATGGAATAAAGCAAGAGAAGAACAGCCCTCCCCCCGACCATCGCGACAAGGAGCGACGCAGTAACCAGAGTCCTGCCCCACCCGACGACTCGCACACCACCCATCACCATCACAGACATCCAACGACAATCTGCCCGGCCCCACTAGAGGAGGTGAAGCACCGCCGAAAACATCAAAATCCGACACTCACAGACAAGGGGTAGAAAAACGGGGCTTACCATCACAGATCACTGCTCCTCCGATGACTGAAGAGAATCCAATCTCCGGCCTTGCTACGACCTCAAGGTGCGCCACCGCCGTCCTGAACTCCATCTGCAACAGTGGACCTGCCGCCCCATCAATGGACTATCTGCAGCTGAAATAGGGTCGCCCTTCGCCAGGGGGGCAGCGAACAGTTGAGGACGACCCCTAACCGAGCTTTACCGTCGCTGGGGAAGGCAAAATACGTTGAAAATCGAAAGCTGAGAAGAGTTAGGTTTTCGTTGCTTCGTCGCGAGAGAGAATTGGGGATCCTTTTGTTTCTGAAATATATCATCATCATAAACACAACCAAAATTTTCAAATTTTCTAAATGCATTATTCATATGCATTTAAAAGATTAATGGTGATTGTTAGGTACTACCACAAATTGGTAATGTCCTAATGGACATGTAAAAACTGTTAGTAATTGGGAATACTTATCTAAAAGGACTTGTCAAAATCCTGATTTACACTCGAAAGATGTAAATAATATTTTTCCTTTTAGCAAATATAAAAGTTCATCTTTGTTTGGTAAGTTATGACCATCACATACCGTTTTCTTATTTACTTCTCAATAGTCGATAACGATTCTTTATTTTGAAGTTTCTTTCTTAGCTACAAGAAATGCTCGTGATGTTTGAGGAGACTTACATAGAATGATGACTTTCATGTCAAGCATTTCTTGAACTTGTTGATTAATTTCTTATTTATCTTTCATTCTTTTGGTGTATAGCTCACTGTTTTTACAAGGCCTGGTATCAATTCGGTCGGATGGTGTCTAAATGGTGGCCAGTGATGGACTCTCCGGTCACTTGTGGTTGTCGCGGCTGAAGGAGAACATCAAATTGGTTGCTAGGAGGGTTAAAGAACACCGGACAAGTGGTTCTTCATTTTTTTCATTTTTCTTTTATTTTTTTAAATATACAAAATTCTTGAAGTATCTTAAAAAATTAGTTTTTTTTTTTTCAGTTAAAATCACTTTATACGAAATTCTTGAAATCCACATACTTTAGATAGTGGTTTGTAAAAGAAATTATATGTTAAAACACAAAAATTGCGATAATTTGAATGAGTTTCAAGTTTTTTACCCTTTAAATAATACTCCCTCCTATTTTTTTTTAAATGTCATTCTAGCTTTTTCAACTATTTGCCAAATAAATGTCATTTTGGATCTTTTGTACACATTTCCTCTATTACCCTCATTTAGCCAATAAATATATTACGTCTTTTCATATTCACTCATCTCTATCTTCATTAAATAAGTTTATTATTGGCAAAAAAAATTATTTTTAATTAATGTGCAACTTCTCAAAACGACATATATTAAAAATAGGAGGTAGTATGATGAATCCATCTCTTCAACTTAGGTTCGAGACATTTTTTTTTTTTTTTTGGTACAAAAAAAGGAGGCAACGCTTGCCGAACTAATTTTGTGAGATTTTGAATGTAATGCCAATTAAGCATTTTATTTTACCCAAGAGTGCTTGGATGAGATGGCTTGGGTCTCTTCCAGCTTAACCAGTGGTCTCGTGTTCGAGTCCTGGGAATGCAGCAGTGTTAAAACTTTTGAGGGAGAGTTTTGCCGCCCTTGTGGTCCTACCCGACTCGATTCCAGATTAGTTGGTTCCCATATGGATCCAGAAACTGGAAGGTCTTTGTACCAAAAAAAAAATTAAGCATTTTATTTTCATCGTTATCCCTTTCACACAAACACGCATATTCTACATCAGAATCTTTAATAAATAACCTACTCCTCCACAGTTCACTAAAATGATTTTCTCTTTAATAAAAATAATTTAAAAAAAAACGTCAAAAAAAAAAAAAAATAATAACAAACCAGTGATAAAATCGACTCTCACACACACTACACATTTGCACCCAACCAAAAAAAAGAAACCTCTGCCCTCCCAAATCTCAAATCCACCGCACAGCCATGGCGGAGCCCAAGAGGTACATTACATCCGAAGAGCTCCGCGCCCACAACACCCCCGGCGACCTCTGGATCTCGATCCACAGCAAGGTCTACGACGTCTCCCAGTGGGCCCACATCCACCCTGGCGGCCAGCTCCCCCTCCTCAGCCTCGCCGGCCAGGACGCCACCGACGCCTTCGTCGCCTACCACCCCTCTTCCGCCTGGCGCCACCTCGACCGCCTCTCCACCGGCCTCCACCTCCGCGACCACGCCGTGTCCGAGGTCTCCCGCGACTACCGGAGGCTGGCCGCCGAGTTCTCCCGAATGGGCCTCTTCGACCGCAAGGGCCACGGTGTCCTCCTCACCCTCTGCCTCATGGCGGCGCTCTTTGCCGCCGCCCTGTACGGCATCCTCTGCTGCGAGGGCGTCTTCGTCCACCTCCTTTGCGGCGGCCTGATGGGCTTCCTCTGGATCCAGAGCGGCTGGATCGGGCACGACTCGGGCCACTACCAGGTAATGCCGTCCCGAAAACTCAATCGGGTCGCCCAGATCCTCTCCGGCAACTGCCTCGCTGGAATCAGCATCGCCTGGTGGAAATGGAACCACAACGCCCACCACATCGCCTGCAACAGCCTCGATTACGACCCCGACCTCCAACACATGCCCTTTTTCGCAGTCTCCTCGAAGCTCTTCTCCTCCATCGCCTCCCGATTCTACGAACGTACCATGAAATTCAACGCATTTGCTCGATTCCTGGTAGCCAACCAGCACTGGACCTTTTACCCCGTCATGTGTATCGCCCGGATAAACCTGTTCGCCCAGTCATTCATCCTACTGCTCTCCAAACGAAAGGTGGCCCATCGAACCCAGGAGCTTATCGGGCTTGCCGTGTTCTGGGTTTGGTACCCGCTGCTCGTCTCCCGTCTGCCCAACTGGACCGAGCGGGCCCTTTTTGTGGTGTCCAGCTTCTCAGTCACCGGCATCCAGCACGTCCAGTTCTGCCTCAACCATTTCTCCACAAGCGTGTATGTGGGCCCACCCAGGGGGAACGACTGGTTCGAGAAGCAGACGAGCGGAACCCTCAACATAAGCTGCCCGTCGTGGATGGACTGGTTTCATGGGGGGCTTCAGTTTCAAATCGAGCACCACTTGTTCCCGAGGCTGCCCAGGTGCCAGCTCAGGAGAGTTTCGCCTTTCGTGAAGGAGCTTTGCAAGAAGTATGGTTTGCCGTATAACTGTGCCTCATTTTGGGAGGCGAATGTGATGACAGTTAGGACATTGAGGAATGCTGCCCTGCAGGCTAGGGACCTGGCGAGGCCCGTCCCGAAGAATTTGGTTTGGGAGGCGGTCAATACTCACGGTTGAGATTGTGGGGGGAGAATTTGGTTTTTTGTATTGGTTGGTCAATACTCGAGAAGGAGTGATTATTGTTTTATGGGTTTTGCTTTATTTGTTTCGGATGTTTTGCTTTCATGTGCTGCTAGAATTCTTATCGGGCATTAATGAACTACATTTCGTTTAGCAGCTTGTTTTTACTTGTTGCTTGCTTGCTTGTGTTTGGTTTTGTTTGACCATATTGTGGTGTTTGGTATTTGTGTGGTTCCCTGCATTGGATCTCGGGTTTAGTCGGGTTTTAGATTAACAGTTTCAGCATGTGCTGTGTGAGGCTTGCAAAGGGAAAGAACCTTACTTTTGCTGTTAAAATTCATGTTCTCGAACTGCAAGCTTGTGAATGCAGAGAAGGTTTGCAAAAACCTTCTGCTTTTATTGCAGCAAGAAAACTATAGCTAGTCAATGATTGAGAAGTTTGGCCAAGTTTTTAATCAATGGTGAGCTCCCTGCATTTGAAAGCAGTAAAATCTGTAGTGTCTTTTCTGCAGTTTTCGTAACAATTGACTAAAACCCGATTAGAAAATGGCTGGTCACCGTTATTATTTATCATCTCGTCCATCTTGGACTCGATGAAAATCATGTGTCAGCAAGAACATGGGAAAGGTTGGATTGATGAACCTCAAAGTGGAATATTGAAATGTTTTCCCATCTTACAGCCTGTGCAGAACAAATTGAGGTCCACACCAGATGTATCTATTATTTTTAGAGTTAAAGATTGGACACACTCATGACCACACACATCTTTTTGTACATAAGGTACAAGATAAAGAGCTCATGTGAAGCAGATTTGTAGCAACATGACTAAGTGGTCTCTCAATGTTGTTTTGATGGATTAATATACGAACAGCTGTTTATTTGATGGACACACTCATAACCTGCTAGCTGATCAAAATCTATTATAATGAACCGTCGATCAGCAAAAAGACGAGCTAGTTTCTAGCAAGTGTTTTTGTATTGAGTATAAGTTTGCCCTGTAAATTTTAACTTCACATGCACTCCAGTTTTGTAGATTACATGGAAAATAACCATTTTTTCAGCATGGTTTTCTCTTCACTAAAGAATTTATTAATCTATGTTATTATAGTGAAGAAATGATCAGTTTTGGAACATTGTATTTCAATTTTCTCTTTTAAAACTTGCCCATTGAAGCTAGAACTAGATCTACTCTGTGAACATGTAATAATTTTTGGCTTTTAAAGCGGGCCTTTGACCTGAGTGGGGGTATGAAGGTTTTAACCGTGTTATGGATGTTGGGCCATTTCAGGTGGCTGGGTCCTTGTTGGCTAGTTTCTGGCCCGCCTGTTCCAAGCGGAGAGTTGGACCATGTGATGTGGCCCCATTTGAAGGCTTGGGCTTTTTATCCCTGGGGAGGTGGACAATGCGCCATGTTGGCTTCGCAAAGCAGCAAAAACTAGGCATTTTACACGTTTTCTTTTGGATTTTTTTTTGTTGTTGTGAAAATACGAAATATAAAATTAAATTATAAATAAATGTGTAATAACAAAATTTGTGCATTTAATAATTAATGAGAACAATAAACTGCAAACCATTGTTCATAAACCCTGCGTATTAGTCTAATTGTGTTATAAAATGCGGGGAATATAAAGAACACAATGTAAAAACCGGGACAAATTATAAGCTGCTTTTCTCTCTTTACTTTTTCGTTCGTTTTTCAGTACATACACTACAATACTTCTTTGCCTTTTTATAGGCAAATTTTTGGCACACACTTCAAGATAAGATATTAATTAATAGTGGTTCTTCCACTTGTGTATAACACTCCCCCTTGAAATTACCACTATTAAATGTGCATTTATGTTGCCTCGTTAAAAACCTTATCTGGAAAAACCCTGTGGGAAAAAAACCGAGACAAGGAAAAAAGAGTACAGCCGCACATACTCCCCCTCGAGTTATCATCCGTGCAAATCCCGAAGATGTCTCATTCCAATATTGTGCACGTGTTTTCGAAATATTGTCGTTGGAAGCGCCTTCATAAACAAATCTGCTGCATTATCGCTTGATCGGATGTATTGAACATTGATTTGTTTGTTTCGTTCAAGCTCTTGCGCATATAAGAATAACTTTGGCGGGATATGTTTGGTTCTGTCACTCTTGATGTATCCTTCTTTGGTTTGAGCGACACATGCTGCATTGTCTTCGTATATTACCGTCGGGTCATTATTGTTCGATAGTCCACTGGCTTGTTGAATATGTTGAGTCATGTTTCTGAGCCAAATGCTTTCCCTAGTTGCTTCATGGAGTGCAATGATCTCAGCATGGTTTGAAGACGTCGCGACTAATGTTTGTTTTTGGGAGCGCCAAGAAAATGCAGTTCCGCCAATCGTA